AATAAAAAATTATTTTGTAAACTTGTGTTTCACTAATAATTTGTATGTGTGTATGCATGCATGTGTGCCGGAAGATGTTGCTTGACAAATCCAAATTTGACTTTACATGGTGGCAGAAGATGTTTTAAAGACACTACCTTACGCTCTGAGTAAATTGGCTTAGCTAGACTAGACCTATGCTGTGCTCGCTAACATTTGCAATTGCACCTTTGTCATCACTTTGCTCTTAGAATATCCCTTTTATTCTCCATCTAAATTCTGCCCATCCTCCAAAGGACATATCTACCCTTAATTCCTTCCTCTATGATTTTTTTCTCTAATTACTTCAACCTGTTGATTTCTTTGAAATTTTTAGGTTTTATCCACACTTAATCATTACTAACCTTATATTTCTATTATGTTGCATTATGAACTCTTAATTTCAAAATTTCTTGTATATTTAAGATATACAGATTAATAGGGTTGGAGGCTAGAAGTTCTAAATTTTATTCGTTTTCTTCTCAGAATGCCTAAAATCACAATATTAGGATCATTGTAATTTAATAGAATATATTGATTACATCATTAAAATAATTAGTAAAGCAGGATTAGTCGGGGCCCTTTAGTATTTTTCTTTTCATTATAACTTTTTTTTTGAGTTGGAGTCTCACTCCATTGCCAACACATGAAATGCAGGCTGGAGTGCATTGGCAAGCTCACGGCCACCCCAGCATCGACCCGCTGGGCTCAGGTGATCCTTTCACCTCAGCCTTCCAAGTAGCCGGAACTACAGGCATGCACTGCCATGCCCAGTTAATTTTTTGATTTATTGTAGAGATGAGGTCTCGCTAAGTTGCCTAGGCCGTTCTCGAACCTGTGGGCTCAGGCAATCCCCTCACCTTGGCCTCCCAAAGTTCTGGGATTACAAACTTGAGCCACTGAGCCCAGCCTATCATAACTTTTAATTTTATGATGCTGTAATGAATCTAGCTTTATACAAAGATATTTTTCAAAATGTGGTTTACTATTACAAAAAAGTTTTTTAAGAAAACTGCCTTATTTTGTAAGTCATATATGGACTTTCTATCACTATGATATTTAAACAATTTGTATTTTCACTATTATGACTTTAAAACAAAAAATACTAACTTACCAACAATGATATGTTTTTCCTATTATATAAGTTTTATTATGATGACTAAGGATAATTTTTTATATATTTTCAAAATGATCAATGCTTAATAGTGCTTCTTCATATCCAATCAACACATGAAATGCAAGTAAGATAAAAGGTAGATTGAGAAAGACACAGATTGCTCATAATACTGATATAGAAATAATAGATAGTGCTTTAATGTAACCGACAAGTCCAAGGATAAGGACAGCAAAGATTATTTTTTCTAGAAGACAAGAAAAAAAATATTTAAGAGTATTTCGGTTAATCCTAAAATTTAATTGCATAATAGTTTATAAAAATCACCATGTTATATATAGTGCACTATAGTTTAGGGAGTAGCATATACCTTATTCCATCTTCATTAAAGAGAAACAAAATGTAAAAGAAAGCACATTCATTCTGGGGTTTTTTATTTTGCCATCTTTTTCTTCCTCAAATCAAGTCCTGGGTTATATCATGGTGTAATAGCCATTCAATTTTATGACTCGTGAGCAATACATGAGAAAATATTTACAATTACTGCTTCCACAATAAAAAAAATAATAACCTCATATTCATGGTGACAAGAAAATGTCTTCAAGAACAGCTTTTTTAAAAAAGTGTGGTGCTTTTCAGAAAGATTATCTGGCAAAAATGATTACCTCAGAAGCAAATACTCTGGAAGTGAGAAGTCTAAAATTCATGTCACTCATTGCAAATATCTCAATCTGTTGATCATTCACAGTTAGTGAGGCTTTCATGGAATTCTTTAAGAATCTTATAAACTAAGATACTTGAAACTTTGACCTGTGTTTCATGAATCTGACAATTAGAACAGTAAAGAAAATTATTTTCTGTGATTCTTTATTTTACACAACATTTATATCTCCACTAAGAGCAAGCTGATTGTGTAGGTATAAGTTTCATAACTGTATATTCTCTAAGGCAACCTTCTATTTCCAGGAGTTTAGGGATATGATGTCAAGATTTTTCATGTTTTCATTCTCTAAATAATGCACATTTTCAAAGAACAAAATAAAATATGTGATGGTAATCTAGGTATATAACGTCATTAGCCAACCCTACGAGTAATTTAAGAGAGTTATTGTGATGGATATATGTATAAATACATCAATATTCTCCTTTTTATATTTTATTCTTGAAACAAAACCATCTTACAAAAAATAAGATACTGGGAGCTAATTGCTCTTTATTTTTCTTTTTAGTAATAACAGTTTTTAAAGTAGGCCTGCTTTTCTCGTTCATGTCAAAATATTCTTGAATTACATTGTTTTACTTGTAACCCCAGCAGGATGGAACTTTTTAACTTTACTTTTGGTTCTTTGCTAAGAAGAACAAAGAACTGGGAAAAATAGAAAAAGCAGAGAGCGGACAGATTTCTAAATATTAAAATATTTTCTTTGATTAAAAAAGTTCCATGTATTTTATTCCTGGGAAAATTAAGAGTTCATAAAAGTAGGCAGTGCTTGCTGGATGCTGAGAATTGCACTACACTTCTTTCTTCTCACATTCATGTATTCCAAAACTCTAACTTTTTTTTAAAGTAGGGTGGATGCTTTGATACTCTATATCCAAGGATGTTGATCTACTTTATTATTTTTGATGAAGATTAATGGGAAGAAACCCTCTTTGCTTCACTTCATTAGAAAATCCCATAACTAAACGTTGATAAAGTTCTGTCTCATATGTTTGGAAAGTATTTTAAAATAGTTTCATTTGTAAAAGATAGAATTTGCTATTGCCTTAATCAGTGCTTCTTAAAGCATATTTACAATATAAAATATGTTATTAAGCATATTAAGACTTTATGAAGTCAAGTTAGATATTATGGAAAATAGGTGTGCAACTCTTATTCTTAAAGAAATATGTCTTCTCAATGGTGAAAGAACCATAGCTTTTCTTTTCCCGATAAGACTTCTTATGCTCAAATGAAATTATTTAATATTTTTATACCCATATTTTTCCACAAACCCAACTTAGTAGAACTTCCCTTGATAAATATTCAGAACATTAAAACCTGAGTCCCACTTCTACAGACTGAACAAGATGTTAGGATGTCATGCCAGAAATATGCGAAGTCAAAATGTCTTTATCTAAGGTCCTCTTCTTCAGAACCTAGACACAGGAGAAGGTGACAGCATTCATGTATTCAGGATACAGCAGCATCTATTAGAAAAGAGTGCAAGGGACACAAATCTTGAGCTGAGCAAGGCCACTTGCTGGTCCGGGGTTTGTCTTCACCTGATTCTTGATGAGGAGACTTTGCACCTTCCTAATTACTGTATGAAAAGTTTGTCTTCACTCAAGGGTCATTTAAGGAACACAGATGACTTTTTTACATTTTTCTTCCCTTCCTCAAATCTTAATGAACTTTAGGGCAAAGTTTATAAAATCCAGAGATACTTTTCTTGGGAACAAAAAAGTGCCTGGTGACAGTCTTTTTTCATTTTTTCTTAGTGAGAATCAGTGATTTTGGGGAGCTTGTCCTTTTATGTTTATTTCAATGCATCAGTGTGATTTACCAAGATGTTGAAAGCAGAGACTGGGATAGAATAACTTAGAGTAAGTTGAATTTTACACTCTATGCAAAGGAGATTTGCTTTCCAACCCTTGATTTAAAGGAGATTAAGGGAGTTATTATAGGGTTTGCTAAGTATCATAGTTGACACAGCAGAGAAACCTTGCATTTGTGGCTTCCTGTCGTGTTTTTTGAGTAAAAGAGTATGCCATGGTTATTTACAGGACTGTTTTTCTCTTGGCGCATTTTGTTCTAGTTCACCTTAGCTCATTACTGATTCATGGGCTGCTGTTTTTGGCTAAATGATTATGGAGGAACAATGTAGCCGAGAGGCTAGCAAAATTTGCTGCAAACTTTTCCATCGTCCCACCTTTCTGGAACTTTGCTGTCAAAAAATTCATTCAAGGTGCTACTTGTTTTTCATCTCTTCCATCCAACCCCATGATAACTTTTTCCTGTTAAGGTAAGCTTGTGAAAGGACTGCATTTACTATTCATGTTTTTGTCATTTGCATGTTACAAGGTACTCTGTTTTTATTAAGCACCAGTTCATAAAATGCCTAGAAATGCATCCTTTTTTTCTATTCCCCACTGGCAGTTGTCTTTGACTTAGTGGGGAGATAGAGACTTGCTCAACATCCCTAGCTTAAAAGGAGTATTGGAGTAGATGGCAAAAGTAGTTTAGCTTTCAAGACCCTTTGGCTGCATCATCAAATTAGCCTGTGTTATCTATTTTATAACTAGCCCAGCATCATTTTTGAGGACCTAGAGTTATCTTGGGAGGTAGGTGTGTGTTTACTGAGTCTTACCACTTGAGAATTGGAGGTGACTATGTCAAGAGAAATACTTTGAAGCTAATCCCAGCCAATTTTCTGAGATGTTATTTCTCTGAATAATGGAAACACAGGCTTGTTTACTTAAAGACCGAAGTCCAGCAGATATGGGAGTTGTTCAGATAGTCTTTGGCACTTATAGCATATAACAAAGTAGAAATTCTTGGTTTTTGGAAACTAAGCACAAACCACCACTTTGCATTTTATTACTGTGATACTGGTCTGGACTGAATAAGCCCAAACTTATTCAGTATAAGAAGAGCACGTTCCTGCTCCACAAAACTTAGACCACTTTGAGGCTTTTACTGAATTCAGTAGCACCAGTCTAACCTATTAAATACTGATGGAAGGTACAAACAAACAAAAACTCTGTGTAACATTTGTGCCCAAGAGTGACTTAACTAGCTTATATGATAAATCCAAGTGGACGGGAAGAGTGCAAATGACAAAATGAGAAGGGTTACAATATGAAATTATTGCACACAAAAAGCAACTTTTTTTCAGCATCACCTTGATTTATTTTCCTAGTATTTTTTTCCTCAGATGGGAAAATAGTTTCATCAAGAAGACAAATGTTTCTGCCAAAGCAAAAGAATTTCATGTTTTAATGCTTTTCATAAAAAAGTCAACACTGACTAAGTCATGCTTTGCCTCCCATCCCCCATTTCATCGACTAAATTTTTTCTTAAAATCCATTGGCAGATAACAAAATATTTTCCTCAAATAAAGAGATTATATTTTATTGCTGCTTTGTTTAGTATAAATCTTTCTCAATTGGGAAAAAAAGTGTAGGTGAAAAAATTTGCCTAACAAGAAAAGTAGTTTACATGGTCATAACATTTAAATTGCTGCCAAAAAGAAAAAAATGTAAAAAAAAAATTTAATGCAAAATATCACATAATTTCAAAAAACTTACCTCAATTGTCTATCATATATCATGAACTATAAGTCAACTTTCTAATAGGATTACAGTCCTTTATTATAAGCCCCTAGTGGTACTATGGTATACATTTAAAAAATGCTACTACAAAAATTTTCTTTGTTTTTTCCTACTGTGTACTGAGCTATAGATACTTTTTGAAAAAAAAAAAAAAAGCCTAGTAGGTATAAATGCAATCGTTAACTGGTCATGTTTGCCGATGCCCTTTTCATGTTCCACAGAAGGTAGCCACTTTCAATCCAGCATCTTCTCCTGTTTTTTGCCTTCCTTTTTCTTCTTCTTAGATTCTGCTGTGATTTAGAGAGAGAGAGAGAGAGAGATAAAAATAAATGTAAAGTTACTAAGTTATAGGGGGAAAATAGTCACTTTTATTCTAATTGGCCACGAATGAAGAGAGTAGATAGATAGACAAGCTGCTTGCTCTTGGTAGTTCTCTTGGTAAGTTGAAAAAAAACTGTGTGTGTGTGTGTGTGTGTGTGTGTGTGTGTGTGTGTGTGTGTGTGTTTGTGTCTGCTTTTGCCAAGAGAGTGCCTATGAAAGTGGGCAGGAGAAACACAGTCTATCTCTGTGTGAAGACCTATAAATGCCTGTTATCTTACTGGATGCCTTCATTCAAGATGCAATATGTTGTCCTGGGATCCTGCTTAGAAAATAGAAATGCAAGCCGGGCTCGGTGGCTCAGCCTGTAATCCCGCGCCTTTGGGAGGCTGAGGTGAGTGGATTGCCTGAGCCCGCGGGTTCGAGACCCGCCTGGGCAGCGAGACCTCATCTCTACAATAAATCAAAAAATCAGCCGGGCGTGGTAGCGCATGCCTGTAATTCTGGCTACTTGGAAGGCTGAGGCGGAAGGATCGCCGGAGTCCAGCAGGTCAAGGCTGCGGTGGCCGGGAGCGGCTACCGCACTCCAGTCTGGGTGACAGAGTGAGACTCCAACTCAAAAAAAAAAGAAAATAGAAATGCAGTGGGCATCTCTTAGAAAATTACTCAGGTCACTGTGCAGTGGAGGGCTGCAAAAGCTTTGCTTGGCTCCTCATTTCTCACAGTCCCTGGAGCTGTTTATTAGCATGTTTTCTTAGCAAGCAATTCCAAAGTGCTTCCACTCCAGGTCTGCCCTTTGTTTATGCTTTTATGTGTTTGACCGGCTATTTATATAGAAAGGACCAGCTATGAACCACATGTACTCTGTCTGGAGCTTTGCCTAGAGGGATGCCTAGTTTTGGGTGAAGCAAATGAAAAGTTCCAACTTGGGCTATACCAGATAAGTAAAGCCAAGAAGATTTAAATCAAAAGACTCCATCACTTTCCATTTACTCATCTTTCAGCCTCTCCCTTTTGAATATGAGAGTGCAGTTTAGAATAAGATGCATCTACTTTGGCTCTAAAGATGAGAATGGTCAGAATCACTGGGTTAGCAAATATGAGGACATTGCTAAATATGTCTGTGCTGCATCCCTCATTTGTTCCACACTAGGATAGACACATACTGGTTAAATACAGACTTTGGAACCAGAGTACTACTGGAGTTTAAATCCAGGTTGTATCACTAAGTTACACTAAGAGACTTTGGCATAGAGCTATTTGAGTTCCTCCAGGTGTATTCCCAGTAGGGAGATTGCAGGGTCGCATGAAACATAGACTTTTAGATCTTTTAGGAATTGCCACACTGTTTTTCACAGAGGCTGTACTAGATACCTGCACATGTATGTTTATTGAGGCATTGTTCACAACCATTCTGCCCATCAAAAGGGGACTGGATAAAAAAATGTGGTACATATACACAATGGAATATCACATAGCCATAAAGAAGGACAAAGTCATGAACTTCACAGTAACCTGATGGACTTAGAATTTATAATACTGAATAATCTATCACAGAAACAAAGAAATGAATATCACATGTTCTCACCCATAAGGGGACCTTGAACAATTATCGTAATACTATAAGGAAAGGATTGCCAGTAGTGGGAAACTGCCAGGGAGTGGGGGGAGGTGGGATTGGCAGTAGTGGGAATCTGCTGGGGGGAGGGGCACACCTCATCAACATGGGTACCTGCATAATTAACATTTGCATACCTAACCCTGCATTGTACCCCACATCTTTAAAATCAAAAAATTAAAAGTTATAAAAAAAGAGACTTTGGCAAAGTTAGTTAATGTATTTGTGTCTCAGATTACTCAATTATAAAGGGACATATGAGTAGTACCAGAGCACAGGATAGTAACCATAGGATTTATATACAAATTAAATGAATTTTATAAAACTCACTGAGAACTGAACATAGTACAATAGCATGTGCTCAATAAAAGTTACCAGATGTTATTAGTGCGATAATAGACTAAGAATAACAGGTCATTATTCTGTATAATTAAAATTTTTCACCATCACCAAGACCTATTGACTGAGCAGATCAATGAATGTGCTAAGTAACAGGGGAATACTAGGACAAAAACAATAACCGGCAGGGATTAGGGTATTGTTTGTCGGAACACGGAACTTGTTTCTAACAGGGTCCTAAGACTTATGATGAAAGAAGACATGATATGATGCCAACAAGAAATGTTGTATATTTCCCAGGTCACACTTAGATAAAGCTGGAAATTTTTCCACTCTCAATCACCATCATCATTACCTTTTCAATTAGGTTACAATGTCTGTTACACACTAGGTGAAGTAGTATTTCTGTTCAATGTAACTGTCCTAAGCTTCCTTTACTCAAACTTCAAGGGTGCACTATTTGCAATTGAGTCAGTAATTTCTAAACTCCTACTAAAATATTGTCCATAAATGTATTCATTCTGTCCAAGCCTATTTTCAATTTTCTCCCTTTCTATACTAAAGAGATTTTTATCTTCCACTCATTCTAGCTTTGTTTGTTTTCCTAAATATCTCTTTCTTTCAACCTATAAAACGTGAAATGATCAGAATTTCTAAGTCAAAGATACCCACAAGATCAAAGGAGGTATTCTGTTTAATTTCTGAACAAATAATGTCTGAAGATTAAATAATTACAATCTTTGGTTGACATTTTAAGCAAAAGCTATATATTAGGATGGTATCATCGGGGAACACTGTAGGATGTCAACTGAGATCTAACACTGTTTTCTTATCAGTTTCTCATATCCCTTAATAAAAAAGCTCTCGACAATTTGCAATCCTCAAGCTCTTCAGCGGAGTGGATGTTTGTGGTAGTAATTTTCATATTCTGGCTAACATGTCTCTGTTTCATACATAAGTCTTAATGAATACCATACTATTTAGGTGTTTTATGCATTTATTTAAGAAAACTTAAAATTATTCTCAATACTGGACACTGTCGAATGTAGTTTGTCCATTTCAAAGAACATTAGAAATGAAAATCTCTCACCAATTCTCCTTGGTGAAGGCAAAAGTACACACTCTCTCTGTCATCTGAGCCTAACATTTATTTTTTCACTAATTAATTGGCAACATACAAAATATCAGAAAATCAACCACTTGCCTATTTAATCTTCACAATGCCAATTAACTTATTTTTCTGACACAACCAGCAAGTCACCACAGAACTGCATAGAAACACTGTGGTCCTTGAGTTCACTCTGGACTCAATCTAAATAGAAAAAGAAGGAGTCTTCAGTAAAAATAATGAAAAGAGGAAAAAATTTGCATTTGCAATAAAGTCCATTTGATTTCTCACATAACATATTGCTCAAATTTTTGCAAATAAAGAAAATCAGGTCAGTAATAATGCTTCCAATCAAAAGCAGTCTTTTGCAACTTTTACAGACATTTAACTGACAGACAAAATGAGCTTTGTCACGCTTATTTCTGTGACCTCAAAAACATATTAACAACTTCTCAATCTTTACCTAGTATACATGAGAAGTTTAAAATAGTATGAAATTTATTATATAGAAAGAACCTGGTCCAACTTCCTTATGTAACAAATCCCAGATGTAGAAATGAAAACAAACAAATAATCTTCTTTTCCTTCAGTCTTCATACTAGTGCTATTAATATGTCAGTTCTCCAAGCATGTCTTTTCTTTTTCCTCTCTCTTTAGTCTTTGGCTTTCAAGGTTCATTCCATCAACCCCACACTTCCACTACTTCCTTTGTCTTTATAATGCCTCCCCATCTTCCAGGTACTAGCTGTGACATCACTTCTAGTTTGCTGACCTCTCAGTTTGAGTAAGAAGCGTTGCTCATTACTTCCCTTGTGTGAGCACCTATCTCTACTATTGCAATTGCCACCAAAATATAAGCTGTGAGAGGGCAGAATCTGCACTCACTCCTGTACCTCCAGTCTGGAGAACAGGGCCTTAAAAACCAATTAGTAAATCTTGGGTAACCCCTTCAGGTCCCCTCCCACTGTGGGAGCTTTTCTGTCCTCTCAATAAATCCTGCTTTCTCACACAAAAAAAACCCCACAACAACAAAAAAAAATTGGTAAATTTTTAGCAAAACCTATGAATCCATAACATGGCAAGAACACGTCTCATCCATTTTCCTTATAAGAGTTCGTTAATTTCTTCTGCCTTTTCCTCCAGCCTTTATACATTATGGCAGAGTAATTTTCCTCCTACTCTCCCAGCTTTGCCCAGCCAACACCTATTCACCCTTAAGATCTTAGCCTTGGTTTCACTTCCTCTGGGAAGGCCTCCCAGAACTCAACAAAGTAAGCACCTCCCATGCAAAGACACTCACATTGTGCTCTCTTTGTTTTTTTCAAAATTAGAATTGAGCTATTAACTTTGTTTTATTATTTAATATGTATTTTCCCCTTCCTGTGAGGTTAGAGAGTGTATCTGCCTTTTGCATCTGCATCTTCTGTGCCTGGGACATGACAAGTGCTCATGAAATACACATTACATGCAGAGTGGACAAATTAACACTTGAATGGAAAATAAAAAGAGGCAACTGTTACTGGAAAAGGGGTAATTCTCCAGAAAAGTAAGAAGTGTAAATTCAATCAGAATCTTGCCATATTTCAGTCTGATTTTATAGATAAATATTTAATGCAGGAGAAAATTTAAAACATACATACATGAAATTAATCCAGATGTCCTAACACTTCCTTGTGTTTAAAGTAGAAGCCTGAGAAAACTTGGTGGATAAATGAATGCCTCATTTTAGTGGCCTTTCAAGGTTACAGTGAGAGAAATGTGTACTATGAGCATTAGTGTCACAAGAGAACCTGGAACAAGGCTATCACTAGGTAAAGTCAAATGCTCGATATTGAAGTCATATAGCAACTACTCAGAAGATTTCGAGAGCCAATAGGATCCCTGGTCTGATACAAAACAGCAGGACA